CACTAGCAATAGTGGATTATATTAGGCTAACGTATTACAAATTGTGCAATAATTTGGGACATGTAGCCTATTTATGGAACGCAGACCATACATAGCAGTTTAAACCTGGAGCCTGGTGCATGGTTCACGACGACTGGACCATTGTCATCACAGTTCCATAATTAGTGAGGATTATTAGGGTAGATTTATAGGACTACTGTTTAACCCCTATTGTACACTTTTCTCACTTTTAAATATTTCATGGATTGAACAATTGAATATGGCAACTCACAGGATTATTTTTGAACCACTATTTTTGAATCACTAATATATTTTGTGCGTAAAGGCTCTCCAAACCTTTTTTTTTTCTCATGATTATTCATAAATACTTTCCTAACCTTAAATAATACACAAGATCAGAGTATTTTTTAAATCTACCAATTGGTGCTGAAAAAGAGACGTGTGTGTATTTACATGGCTTTCCTTCATTGATCCCTAATATTTTGAACAGTTCTCTCCATATATTCATTCTAGTGAGTCTGTTAAGAAAATTCAAATTAAAGGTGGGCTTACAATAAATTAAAAGGGATGGCTTGAGATAAAAGTGTTGAAAACCCCATTGAATGAAAACTCCACAAGAAAATCTGTTGGCCAGCAACAGATTTTCAGAGGTTGAATTAAATATGTTTTCCGCACGTGCAAGGGAACCACGCCTGCAAAGCCCGTTACACAATGCCTAATGTTACATCTGAATAACAACTACTGAGAAGTGTGTAGGAAAGGCGTGTGTAGGAAAGACAAGTCTGAATCTGGCCCAAAGTGATTCCAAGATCACAGTACAGTACTTTTGACTGGGAGTAGTATACAGAAGTGTTATATCAGGATCAAATGGGTTTTCATTTAAGCAGGTATTGACAGAGAACTAACTAAACCTGACGAGTGACAGGGGAGAGGGCACTGAAAGAGAAGCAGTCATTTTCACCTAGTTTCCATTCTTGTTTCAATGCACTGGCTGACTTAGAGCAATATGAAGTCACTGAATTTAACCTCTGTCAAAACATGCCCAGCACAACAACCATAACAACACTGGCTTGTTTAGACGCACACACACACACTCGCACACTCCATTTTGAGAGCCGAAAGCGGCAGAGCCACAAGAAATGTGAGTTAGCCATTGCAAGCCTTTGCGTGACAGACAGAGGGATCCTGTGACTGTCTGAGGGCCTATCTGTCTGAGAGGAGGCAGAGGGACTGAGTGAGCGATGGGACTGATAGGGAATTGGTGTGCTTGTGTGTGGGGATGTCTGCCTGCATCCATCAAACTATACAGTCTACTCAGTCCAACAAAGATGAGCAGTACAAATCTGTTTGTTTAGATTTGTTTATTATTTCCCTTGACGCCTTTTGACATTTGCATGCTTCTTGATGTGCCCAACTTGGTCTTCCCGGAACTCTTAAACACACTTAATCTGTGTATGTGTTCGTGAGTTCTGGCAGGCTGTGTAAGTGCGTGTGTTTGTGTATGAAATTGGGTGTTTGTGGCGGGCTCAGTTGGAATTGTTTATGCATGAGGATTTGATTTCAGGCAAACAGCAAGAGACTGATACGGTGTAAGGCCCAAGAGTGACATCAACCAGAGTTAACCAGTGTGTGTATATTAAGAATGGCCTTTGGCCTAGACACACATGTTTAGAAATGTTATATATCTCTGTCCTTTAGAGGAGGCAGAATGAGGGTTAGGAAGAAAAATAGGAGAGCTAAAACTCTGTTTTGAAGTATATTTGAAGCACATGATACTTAATGGAGTATGACATAAACAGATATGATAAATGGACATGCAGCATTAAGAAATAAATACTTTTGTTTGAAATAGAGGTGAGTGTTTGATGGGGTATGATCACAAACATCTGAGATTCTGGGACACCATTTTATCCTCAGCTTCAGAGAAAACCTAAAAATAGTACACTGTTGTTGCCATAGTGATTTTGTACCACTGTTATACAACTGGGCCATTTGCATTGGTAGCCTGAGCAGAGTAAAACATAACGACAACATACAGCCTAGTAGATAAAACAGTCCACTCGGTGGCTTTTCTGTTACATCAACTAAAGCCACTTTCAAAGAGACTGGAGATATGACAGTTTATACTCTATACAATCACTCCATCTCTCTCTGCAATCTCACACAGGAATGGGACTAGAGACAAATAGATTTAGTATGTGGAGTAATTTAAAGCTGTAATCGTGAATGTGTTTGTGTGTCTGTGTGTGTGTGTACATATACTGCCTGTGTACCCTCCGCCCTGATTCACCCAGCTGTCTACCCTGAGATTGGAGCGGTGTCCTCTGGGTCACATCAGCCAGTGGGTCAGACCTGCTCCACATACAGTACAGAGGTTTAACATTTCATAACATGAGACTTCCCTAAAATCAGTCAAACTAACTACAGAAACAAATAGAAGATGCACTGGTAGACAGAGAAAATGGCGTGTGTGTATAGAAGAAAGCGTCTCTGATTGTCAATGTCCACCATACATGTATTGGGGTAGAGCACATAAACTGAGAGCAAAAGACCAAGTTGAGCTGCTGTGTTTCCCAGAGAGAGGGCACTAGGCAGATAATGGTCTATCAACGCTGTGTACACAGGAGAGAGAGAAGAGCTGTCTGAGTGTTAAGGATCCATTCCATGAGTGGATCACGTGTCTCCAGAAGCCTGTGACTCATACCATTCCTCCCAAGACTGGCTGATTCCCTCTCCTCTCCTCCTCTGTCTCGTTCCCTTTCTTTTTGCTTCAGACTGGTAAGGACCTGACCGTGGCTGGCAGAGACACCATCTCCCCTCAGCTTCGGATGACCTCACTCAACCTCTCACTGTAGAACCAGCCCCACCTGCCACCACCACATACACTGTCTCTCTATTCCTCTCTGGATCATGCAGCTATGTACAGCATTTGTGACGCTCTGGAGCCGTTGTGTCTCAGCAACCCAACGTGATCACGATAATGGCCCATCTGACATTTTAATAAACTGAAAGTGATACTTTGTTATTTAGATGGGAACACTAGTTTTCCATGTAAAAACATGAAGAACCATTACAACCAATTGGATTCTGTGTGCCAAAAGGGAGTACGTTTTGCAAATTGGACATAAGTGTTACAGTAAATGACTAGATTTTATTGGTTCCAAAAAGACGCAAGTGACATTTAAATCAATTTGATTGTAAAAAAAAAAAAAAAAAATAGCTGAAATCTGCATAAGGTGAAATAGCACCACTATTCATCCCCAGCGTCTTTATTATTTTGTTGATGAAACAGAGAGGAGCGACTGGCAGCACGGTTAAAATAATTATAATTGCAGTACATATTCTGGTGTTCTATCGCGCGTGCAATGATGTACGAGGGAAAGAAACTGTTTGTGTTTAAAGTAACTTCTTTGTTGTTGTAATATACCAAACTGACGTGGCAGTTTCACCAACTATGGATTCAAGCAAGATGGGCTGTTTTACTGTAGAAGCAGAAAACACTAGCAATACAAGTTATTTTTATTCTTTTGTACAATTTTGAAAATGTCACTTACCGGTACGCCCCTTAGGCACTCAACCCATTGCTGGCTGTTGTCTGGATTTAGTGAGAATGATCATCACTGTATAACACAGTATTAGCACACAAAGGGATAGAAATGGAAAGCAGAGCATTTGCCACAACCACATTTTTTATTTATTTCTCCTCCAACAAAATGTGGACAAGACAGATACAAGATAGAGGTATCTGAATGTAAAATAACAATATTAATTAATATTATCAGATTAATAACATGGAATGTAGTCTTTGTATCTCCATTCACTTTCTTTTTTAAATTTTTTGTTTAAGAAACATGTAAAATAAATAAAGATCTACAGGTAACTGACAAAATAAAGGAAACACTTGAGTAAATGAGGGATACAAAGTATATTGAAAGCAGGTGATTCCACACAAGTGTGGTTCCTGAGTTAATTAAGCAATTAACATCCCATCATGCTTAGGGTCATGTGTGAAAACGCCCAGATGCCCACTATTTTGGCTACCATGGCTAGAAGAGATCTCAGTGACTTTGAAAGAGACGTCTCAAAGGAGCATAGGGGGTTTAAAGGGTGTGTGTGTATTTTAGTATCATTTGGTATTTTATGTGTGTGTGTCTCAGTCACCAGATCTCAACCCAACTGAACACTTATGGGAGATTCTGGTGCAGCACCTGAGACAGCGTTTTCCACCACCATCAACAAAACACAAAATGATGGGAATTTATTGTGGAAGAATGGTGTTGCATCCCTCCAATAGAGTTCCAGACACTTGCAGAATCTATGTCAAGCTGCATTGAAGCTGTTCTGGCTCGTGGTGGCCCAACGCCCTATTAAGACACTTTATGTTGGTGTTTCCTTGATTTGGGCAGTTACCTGTACAAGGCCTTTGTATGTAATCTAATAGCTATCTGAATATACCGCAGTCTGTTCTTTGAATGCGAAGGGAGCGGGACAGCAAAATAAACTGGTATAGTAGAAAAATTGAAGATGTTTTCCCTTTTCTCTCATCAACTTTAATTTCACACAGATACAGCAGTTTCTCTCTTTTGCTTTCTCAAATCTGCCCCATCAGTAGCACACAACATCAGTGCATGTGTTTGTGTGTGTATAAGGCAGGCACCTTGGGACAGTTGGAATCCGTGCTTGCAGTCATGGACTTAATTTCACTGGGTAAAATAACCAAGTTTGTAAAAGAGTAAGCAGATAAGGGTGACAACTCACTGAGTTAACTAAACTGAAGATCGCAAATGTCTCTTTAAACATGAACCATCAGGGCCCTTTTTATCCCGTACGGACACAAACAAAAACACCCAAAAGAAGCACCAAGAACAGAAACAAGGACCCTGTGGAAAACAGGCTACAGCAATGTTCATCATGCCCCTAAGTCCAGCCTCTGTAGTCCAGTGTGATGTTTCTTCCATGAGTCCAAAAGAGAGAAGGGAGACTGTGTGTGTGTGTGTGTTTTAGTCTGTGCTGTGGTCCTCAAGCTTGGAGATGATGGTGATGAGGTTCTGCAGACCAAAGATGTAGCCACTGTCCTGGCCCTCGTGCACCACACTGTCCTCCACAAAGTCGGGGCAGGTGGTGTGAGCAAAGTCAATCATCCTCACGTCCACTGCCGGGTCAAGGCTTGTATCAGATCGGGCTGCCAGGTGCCCACCACCAGTGCTACCACTACTACTGCGGGTAAACCCAAACGCACCTGCCTCTTCATCATCTTCCTCTTCTACTTCCTCCTCCTCAGACAGACCGTCCTCAGGGGCCCTGTGTGTGTGTGTGTGTGTGCAGGGCGGCTCGCCATCATAGATGATCAATAGGGAGGAGGAATAGAAGCGGTAGGACTCACAGCTCTCTAGGGCCGCCTGCATCTCCCTGAGCCTCCGCAGCACCGGGGAGAGCAGCTCACGCCGCAGATGCCGCCCGTCATGGAAGAACTGGAACAAGGCTTCCTTAAAGCCTGACAGGGTCAGTTTACGCCCAATGTACTTATCCATGAACATGAGCTGACCCGAGTCTGACTGGTACACCTGAGAGAGAGGTAGGAGATGGAGGGGTTCAGAAACACATTTCTTCCTTTTCATTCTGAACAAGAACTAAGCTATGCCCCCCCACTAGATCATTTCAGGCTCTTCAATTCTGCCCCATCCCCATCAATAACTCACAAGTTAACATTGTGCCCACCTGCATGCCACAGAGGCGTACTCCGATGGAGGCAGAGGTGCTTTGCTGGCACTTGCGGATTTGCATGACCTTCTTCTCCTCGGACACGTTGTCACCGTGCTGCCGCGTGCCCATCTTCAGGTCCAGCACGCATGGAACCGTGTGACGCCACGTCAGGTTCTCCAGCAGGATGAATTCTGGGAAGGGGTCCTGAGTCAAGGAACCTTTGACTACAGGAAAATCACATGTTCTAATGGACCTGGTTGGAGACAGCTCTCCATTAATGTAGTAGGAAGACCTGACTCCCACTCAGCGGACACTAATTCATCAGACGGACATGACACCATTCCATCTCTAGCCTTTCGTCACATCAATCTACTTCACTTACAAACACAAAGATGTCACAAGTCGATTATCTGTAAGATTGTGAGGCTACTTTGGGCACAAAATTCTGCAGAGTGAAGAAATAAGCAGTAGTATACAGTAATAAGATCAGGTACATGGACAAACCCTGCAGGCAGGTGATGGATTGCCTGATGTTTAGAGTGGTTGTGGTAATGAAAGGATACTGTACTGGTTGCGGTGCTTGGCGTTCTCCTTCATCCTCTGCAGGTGTTCCTGTTGGAGTTGGAGTCTCCAGGGGTTGTGTTGGATGGCGTTGCAGCCTTCCAGAGGCACCTCCTGCTGCTGCAGCCACTCCAGCTCCTCCTCCTCATGCTTATGACTGGGGGAGAGAGGGGAGTCAGGAGGGGTGGAGAGCAGGGAGGGAGTCCCCTATTGTACCATTAAGTTTACGTTCTAGAACCTTTGATACAATGTGTCTCAACCTAGGTGTCAGGTAATGTTGTATGGAAGGTACATGACAAAGATCAGCATATTATAAGTGTGAGCTTGGTCAGATTGCATCACCTTCGACTGTCCTGTCTCTTCTCTACCCTTTACCCTTTCCCTTGCACTGCCCCTCCTGGCCTGGAGATCACGGCTCTGTAGTGGTTCCATAAACCTCTGGCTTTAACTAACCCCAGCCTGGCCACACCATCATCTACTCACACCAGATGGGTCCTGCCTGCTTGTATTTCAGAGTGTGTATTTCAGAGTGTGTATTTCAGAGTGTGTATTTCAGAGTGTGTATTTCAGAGTGCTTTCTGTGTTTGTGTGTGTCTGTCAGTTATGTGCCAGTGATTGCGTGTGTTCACCATAACGATCACCAACTCTGGTGCACTGCATGTCTCTTTATCAGTGTCACAGTAAGTCTCCGTAACAGTGTTTCAATCCGTCTCTGTCCCGTCTCACCTCTTGTCCTCGTCTTCGTGTGAGTCCAGTAGACTCCGGGCAGACAGCTGCTTGTTGCCCCACTGCAGCATCTTGCTGTATGGCTCGCCGTTGACCGACAGATCTATATTCTCCAGGTCCCCCACCCCAGAGTCACTGTGCAGGGGGTACGCTATGAGACACAGGTTGCCCTCCTCATCCTCTTCAAAACCCACAGATACCACACCTGAGAGACAGAGAGAGGAAAGGAAGTAGACAAACCCGTAAGATATCAACCTCATAGAAACAGCAAAGCAATGGTTATTTTGACTCTCTCGATGGAACACTGCATTTACATTTCCCAGCAGCAAACAAGAAACTGGGAAGTATTTTGAGTCTCTTACCCCAAACTCTTTTTGCTCGCCAGCATTTTTAAAACTTACAGAGCCGTCTGCCCTGGCTTCTCTCAACCTGATAGAGATCAAAGGACCTGGACAAACAACTTTATAACAAACAGAGATACAGATCTCCCAACTTCAGACAGAGAGAGAGAGAGAGATACAGATACAGATCTCCCAACTCCAGACAGCCAGAGAGAGAGAGAGAGACAGCGACAGAGGTGGAGGGCGATGGAGATATGGGGCTTGGGGACCACAAATAGAGGGTGTGTCTATATGGAAATCTTGTTTATATTTGTGTACAGTATGTTGTTGTTGTAAACATACACACTCCCAATATTACACTATCAATCATGCAGAAAAGGAAAGTCACTCCAAAACACAAACCACGCAAGGCTCGAGCAGATGCAATCAAAAAATATATTTATTTTAAGTGATTTGAGCTGTTTTATCAAACCATTATAGCAGTAATATTATTACACAGTAAATAAATAAATAAAACATCTTAAAGACACTGTCACCAACACCATAGAGTACCAAAAACCACAAAATCATGTAAACCTATGCATATTGCCTTAAAACAACTTGTACATTGAGAGAACAGCACAACAGCATACATAGTCTCTGTAGATGGACCAGACGGATGAACTAAAGCCTATTTCAGTTACTCAGTCACTCTCACGTCATTCTACCCATCCCGTATGTACAACATTCTAACCCCCCTCCCTCATGAGCCATGCCCTACCCTGCCCCATCCAAAACCACCCCCTCACCCAGCCACCATATCTCTCTGTGGGGATGATTCCCCTCTGGGGTGGGGATGCATAGAACACAACAGCTGCAAATTGACATGGAAAGGTAGAGTAGCTCAAAGAGAAAACGGTTGAAGATGAAGATAAAAAGTGAGATAAAGACTAGGATTCATTGGATCCTATCGGATCAGAACACATTTTGTGGTGCGAGTATATATGATCCAAAGCAACTGTGAGTGTCAAGCCACAGCCTTGTTTTAGAATGTTAAAAAGGAGGGAGCAAGCCCCCCCTTTTACGCACACAGGTTCACCTTTCACTTGTCTGTCAGGTACTAAAGACAAACAGCTGCAGTGACCCGTCGTGTTAGATAACCTACTGTTAAACGGCTAAACAGCAGAGGGGAGACGCAGCACTGGTGGTGAACAGTGAGAGTTAACAAGATATGGTGGATGTTAGGACCCTGCAGGTCCACACTGCCTTCTGAACCTCAAGCCTTAGATACTGGTGTCATTGTATGATGATTTAACCCTCTCCTCGCTGAATTATTTCTGAACACGTTAGAAAGCATTTCTGTGTGTGTGTGTGTGTGTGTGTGTGTGCGCGCGTACTCGCTAAACCTGTCTTCATGCATACTATACTGCATTCTACCTGCTCTCTGGGCAGAGAAACACAGCTCCTACCGGTCTGTCTGTGTGACTTACCTCCTCTGCTTCTACACACAGGACAGCACACCCTGGTGGTGCTCCACTGCTACAGTGTCCCCCTGTGGCCAGGTCCAAGAGCACCGGCTACCACACAGCATCCTGGCTGGCCTGCAAAGTCCTAACCTGGGCCTTAGAGAATTGACAGAACCCACCTGATCCATCTGTGGAGGGACACACTTCGACTCCCTAAAAACAACCTACACCCTAAAACCATGCGCTAACATGGACCGTGAACAAGGAAAAGTGCATAGAAGAAAATGCATGCACCTGCAATAAAAACCTACCCTCTTTTCCAACCGCATTCCATACCAATCAAGAGATACAGAAAGAGGGGGAATGGGATATGGTCAAAAGAGACAGAGACAACACAGCAACAGAGGTTAGGGGGTACAGTCTTACCTCGGTACTGGGGGGTGAACTTCCTCATGGCGCTGGGTAGGCTCTTGTAGAACTGGTGCTCTTGGGGGATGAGGGGCTTGCAGATGGTCTGCTCTCCGAAACGCAGCACGCAGCAGTGGCCCCCCACCTGGTGCATGAAGGGCTCAAGCGGGACCCCTTTCTCCAGATAGTGTTGTAGCTGCTGCTGTGTTTGCTGTTGCTTGGCCTGCATGGTCTGAGCCTCCACGGCCGGACTCATCCTCCACTGACCCTGATCCTGAGCACAGCGACGCCACACGCATTAGCCTCCCTCCTCAGGGACACAGCGCTGCAGGGCCGCAACAGGACAGTTGGACGACCACACACGCAGACCGCAGGGTATCTCTGTTGATGTCGTTTATTTTGATCCCTCCTTTTCTGTGGTTTGATGATCTCTCCTCTGTGCAGGAGGGATTCTGCAAGACGAAAACAAAGAGGGAATGGAAGGAGGAAGAGAGAGAGAGATAGAGAGAAATATCGGCTCAGCGTTTGTCAATCTTAAATCCCTTTTTTCCTCCTGGCCTTAGAAAGTAGGCAGAGGGGTGTATGAACAGAAAGTCCTTTGTGTCCCGAGGTTGATAAATGAAGGTGTGCGCTGCAGCTGCTGCTCTGCAGAGTGTGGTCTGAGTGCGACACAGCCTGACTGAAAGTCTCGCCTGCTGCCCACTGAAACCCTTCTGACACTGACAGCCTGCGCTCGCTCTGACTGGTAAAACTCACAAGCACAAAAACAGACCCGCCCACTTCCACCAATCACAAGCAGGAGCAGGTTGTTGGGTGGTACCCATTGAGGGAAGAGAGGGAGCAAACAAAGAGGGATGGAAGGAGCATGGGGGAGGGGAGAGAAAAAAGGAAAGAAGCAGAACAGAGAGAGGGAGGAGGGATGGAGGCAGAGCTGAACTGAACTCAGCTGTTTTTTTCTGTATGACAGAAGTGTTTTAACAACCTCACACAACAAGCTGCATTTCCTCATTTCAGACCAACGGCTGAGAGGGTGAAGACTGGTGGTAAAATAATGCAGACCCAGTGCCCACATACAGCCTAGCATCACATACTGACATTTGCAAAGACAGTTAAATATGCCACAAACACACTGGTAAACACAGTAACAAACGGTTTGCATTATGACAAATAACCTTGAGAGCCACAGAATGTTGATTATGGAACAAACAGCGGTCTGGTGCAAATAATGGTGCCAGTTAAGGTAAAGGTAGTCTTAAGGGCAACATAAAACATAGAACATGGAATAAAACAGTGTTTGTTGTCTTCCAGATTCCTCTGAAGATAAACTGCCAACATTGCCTATAACTACTAGCTAGGCATAACATGCTGACTGGGAGTAGGGCCCTGTACAGCAGAGAGAGAGAGAACAGGGAGTGCTTGTGTTTCCTGAGCTGCAGGGTGGACACTAATCCTTCCCTTCGTGGTAGCCTAGGCTAATCTGTTTCAAGAAGGGAGAACATACCAACTCCTCATTCACAGAATTGCCAGTCACAACAGGACAGGTAGGAGCATTTCCATCGAAAAGGACCCATGAGCACCAACATGTGAAGTTCATAGAAGCATATCAAATTGGGTGTCAAATGAAAGCTAAGTCTATATAGTCAGAAATACATTTTTCAATCATCTTAAAAATGAGGCATAATTAAAGGCTTCAGAAATACATCAAAACACAATAATGTTGACATAAAGACCCCTGCCAACTAATATCAGCACATATTTTATTTTTGAGAAATTGTTTACCTTCTGTAAGTTTAAGAAATATTGCCTTGTACCTTGTAATTCCGTTAATAAAGCCCACATATCTTTAAGATATTTTCTAATTTCTCTCCCTCAATTAAAGTATCAAGTAATGGTAGACCTGGCAATGAGTTATAGTAATTTTACTGCTATCAATTTTGTTTATGAATTATATATTAATTAAAACTCGTAACAAAAAAATTATTAAGGGAATTACTGCAACTGAATTGGATACAATGGGAAATCATAATAGTCACAAACCACAGTTGGGTCACCTTCTAATGTCCTCCCTCTTCCGGCATACTGTTATGTTCAGCAACCCCTCCCCCTATCTCTCTGCCTCTCTATCTCTCTCTCTGGTTAAATGTCACCTCTCCCAGCTCTTACAGAAACCTACCCATGAGCCCCCTCTCTTTCCAGCCTCACCCACAGAGCACCGACTGACACCGGATGTCCATGGACGCTGAAAAGTAGTTGAAAGTTGGTCAGTCCACCCTGGCCTTGATGTTAACGTCCACAGACGGACCGGACTGGACCAAATCTGAACCTATCATAGACTTATGTTTCACAAGTTTGGATAGCACAGTGCAGTACAGTGAGTAGAGCACAATAGAGTACAGTCCAATACAATGCAGTAGTACAGTATATTGTAATGTACTCTACTGCCATGTACTCTACTGTGCTGTATTGTACTCTACTCTGCTGTACTGCGATGTCCAAACTTGTGAAACATATGTTTATGATAGGTTCAGATTTGAACAGAATGACATTTATATCCATAATGTAATTCCGTTACCGTAATTCTGTTACAAGGTGTAAATCCACTTCACTTACTGTAGTTCAATAACCAAAATAGATTTTTTCAAACTCAAGGTGCCACATCATAGCTGACTCCCCATTATTTCAGCAGACATCTTTGAATCTTAATTTGGAGCAGATATTTAACCGAGTTTTTGGTCGCATAAAAACCTGAATGAGATTTTACCGTAATTCCGTTCCCAAAGTTTGCATCTGCATAGTTCTTCTAAATTAGTTTTTGTAACATTTTCTGTCGAAATTGTTAAAAGCAGTCCTTGTGCATAGAGTTGTATGGTTTGTTAAACTTTGAAATCAATGGTTTTTGTTTGGCTACATTTTAAAGTGAAAACACTGAGTCAAAGCGTAATTCCGTTACCGTGGAATTGCCCGTAGGGAGTCGGGAGTGTGTGTGTGTGTGTGTGTGCCTGGCCCAGTAGCAGAGGAGGGGATAGACACTGGCTGGTTCTCCTCAGACCACAGGCAGCAGCAGCAATCCCCACAGTAATATTTCTAATCCAGCATCCTGGAAAACTACAGGGAGGAAATGGGCCATGGAAAAAAACAGGAACTAAAAAACACACAGACAAACACAGGTTGACGGCACAGGGCACAAAGGGACTGTCAGGTAGGCAACTCCTTGCCACCCTCAGTGGCACCACATAACCACTACCTCAGACATACACATTATACAACACTAATGAAGCAATACACTGACACTCTGGCTTTGTCTCTTGACCAATCATCTCTGACCTGAACATTGGTCAATATCCATGCCAACGGTAGCCTACTGCCAGCAGACATGCTGAGTTTGGCTTAGACTTTGCAGACACTTGCAAGACTTTAGGGAGGGGCACAAGAATGTCAGAGAGGGAGAGAGAAATGAAAAACACAGAGACAGAGAGAGGCGTGTGAACTTGCTGATGAGCAGTATCGTGGCATTGGGCCGTTGGCTGTTAGTGAGGTAGGTAAGGCATTAAACAGAGTGTTCCTGTAGTGTGTGCCAGAGAGACAAAGACACAGTGATCTGCTGACAGACCAGGCCATAGCCTGGGAACCCAATAGGAGCACAGAGCTCAGCAAAGCGGTCCTTTTCACCTCCACACAGTCTCCATAGAACACACACACACACAGACGTCAGACACAGCCCCAAATGACACGTCTTGCCAATAATGTCTGACCTACTGGCAAATAACATTCTCACTCTAATGGTCATTGCCAGCACTGCAGACATGTTGACTTTGGCCTGAACTTTGGAGAGACTTGCAAGACTTTAAGGGAGGGGCACAACAATGGACTCGTTTTTGAGGGAAATATCCTCAGGAGACCCCAAAATGGATTGGAAGCCTCCAGCCAGCAGAGCTGACAGGAAAAGGATGGCATTCTACCCTATGGAGCTGTGTGATTGACTGACATGCTGAAGTAGTTGTGTATACCCTGTCAAACTATGGTCCGGAGGTACAAATAAGTTAACAAAAACATAATCCGTCTACAGCCCTCAAACTCATCTCTGGACCTCGAAGCCAGTTCCACTGCATTTTTTCATTGTTCCCCTCTAATCGGGAACTGATTTAGACCTGGGACACGAGGTGGGTGCAATTAATTATCAGGTAGAACAGAAAACCAGCAGGCTCTGGACCTCGTAGGGTAAGAGTTGAATACCCCTGGTGTACAGTGACACTGAAGGTCTGACAGGCCTATTGTTCAGCTGGGGTCCTTGCTATTGTCACCATGCTAGTTTCTCATGGCTGCATGAGGAACGACAGAGGTCGGGTTGTGGTGGAATGTCAACGCGCCGGAGTATGGTGGTGGGCACATTGTGGTGCTGGGGTGCTCATAGGGGGCAGGAGGTGGGCAAGGTTAGTTTCATGCCAACGTGAGGCCAGGGGCACTGGCACGTTGAGCAGAACGGAGGAGAGGAGTAAGTGGAGTGGGGCTAATATGTAGGTGCTGAGTGACTTCAGACAGATGGGAGGAGCTACTGTAGTGAACCCAGAGAGCAGCCTGGGGCTATGAAGGACACATGGACAAAGGCTGTAGCTCGTAAACAAGCAAGCTAACACTGTAGGCTAAAGGAAGGCAGAAGTGAGCGTAACTCCACAACATCCTAGGCTATTTGTATAGCTACCTCTAGGAATTTGAGTAAGGCCTATCTTTTAAGTGCTTTAGAACATACAGTGCTTTCAGAAAGTATTCAGACCCCTTGACTTTTTCCACTTTATGTTACAGCCTTATTCTAAAATGGATTAAATAGTTGTTTTTCCTCATCAATCTACACACAATACCCCATAATGTCAAAGCAAAAACAGGTTTGTAGAAATTTGAACAAAAAAACTGAAATATGACATTTACATAATCATTCAGACCCTTTACTCAGTACTTTGTTGAAGCTCCTTTGGCAGCATTAACAGCCTCAAGTCTTCTTGGGTATGACGCTACATGCTCCTGCGTTGTCTTGGCTGTGTGCTTAGGGTCATTGTCCTGTTGGAACCTTCGCCCCAGTCTGAGGTCCTGAGCGCTCTGGAGCAGGTTTTCATCAAGGATCTCTCTGTACTTTTCTCTGTTCATCTTTCCCTTGATCCTGACTAGTCTCCCAGCCCCTGCCGTTGAAAAACGTCCCCACAGCATGATGCTGCCACCACAATGCTTCACCGTAGGGATAGTGCCAGGTTTCCTCCAGACGTGACGCTTGGCATTCAGACAGATGTGCCTTTCCAAATCATGTTCAATCAATTGAATTTACCACAGTTGGACTCCAATGAAGTTGTAGAAACATCTCAAGGATGATCAATGGAAACAGGATGCACCTGAGCTCAATTGAGAGTCTCATAGCATGGGTCTGAATACTTATGTAAATAAGGTTTGTGTTTTCTATTTTTAATACATTTGCAAACATACAAAAATACTGTTTTTGCTTTGTCATTATGGGGTATTGTGTGTAGATTGATGAGAAAAAATAATTTTATTGGTTTTAGAATAAGGCTGTAACGTAACAAAATGTGGAAAAAGTCAAGGGATCTGAATACTTTCCGAATGCACTGTATTTAGAATGGAATACAGGTGTACTAGGAGTCTTAAGGCAGAATTAATACCACATTAACCCAGACTGACTGACTGTACACAAGGACACACATCTCTGCTGACCAGTCTCCTTCCCCTCTCACTGGGCTGTTTCAGGAAAAATGCTCACCTGGCTCACAGAGTCAGCCTATTCCCCAGACAGACAGACAATGGATCAGTCCAGATTACATATGATCAGTGTGCTGCTGACCAAGTCTTTACAGGTCACCATGTAAGCCCCCCTTAAAATACCAAAGAGCTACCGGCTATTCAGATAGACTAATAATACACAGCTCCCTCCAAAACACACACACACACACACACACACACACAGACAGACACACACACACACAGACACACACACACACACACACACAGACACACACAGACAGACACACACAGACAGACAGACACATTTAGACATGCACAGACACACACACACAGACAGACACACATTTAGACATGCACAGACAGACACACACACATTTAGACATGCACAGACACACACACACAGACAGACACACATTTAGACATGCACAGACACACACACACAGACAGACACACATTTAGACATGCACAGACAGACACACACACATTTAGACATGCACAGACACACACACACAGACAGACACACATTTAGACATGCACAGACACACACACACAGACAGACACACATTTAGACATGCACAGACAGACACGCACAGACAGACATACAGTCAGAAACATTCACACAATTGACAGACTGACACTAAGTAGGGTCAGAATGCTTTATCTTTTTTTACACACTGTACCAACATTCTCTGCACACGTTTAGAAACACGAACAGGCTAGACACACGGAGCACATACAGACACACACTTGCATATACTAAAAGTTCATATGAGAGGTAACAGGTCCATAAATACCAGCATTAACACCATAGTGCAACGGGTGACATTTGATCACTTCAGCCTCCTGGACGCAGCTGCATCACCTTTGCTACAGGATGTGCCCACAACCCACGGTCCACACACTCAACACACACAAATCCTCTCAAACCTGTCCATGGCATGGATGGAGGGGTCACCCATCTTTCTCACTCTGGAGATGCCAAACTATTTGACCAACTTCTGAGGGCATCATGCTAAGGCAAGCAGGAACTTGAATTATCTTCCTAAATAGAATTTACCCCTCCCTGGATTCCTACAAAACGTCCAAGCCCATCCAAAGCCCCCCTCTTAATGTCTTCTAATCTAAGCCACTGCAGTACGCGAGTCACTTAGCTCTTTGACATAGATTGACTGAGTAATGCCAAACACAGCATCATAATGGCACCCACACACAAACACAGGTTCCTGTCCAACAGCCTGTCTCTTCCTGTTCCCACTAGGGCTAGGCGGAATATATATGCACGGACCGGTTTGAGTTTTTACTTTACCTTCTGTAACAGGATTTCAATGTTTGGTTTATTAAAATGTGATACACAACTCCAGCGCGTATAATGTCAGTTTTTATAGTTTACTCCATTTACCATGAGTCGTCTCTCTCTCCCTCTCCTCCTGCTCTGGCACTTAAGGAGAGAGCAGTTGCTCGACCACGGAGTCACGAGGACTTTCTTCACTCT